GCTGGGCCACAACATATTTCTATTTTTATTTGTATTTATTTACTTCCAAGATTGGAATAAATGTGTTATTCCACATTTATTCCAATGATCCAATAAAATCATTGGATCTTGTGTTAAATTGTGGGGAAAATGTTTCCCCTCCCTAAAGGAAATACTGAAATTTATATACACCATTACTGTAGAAAGGAAGAGAAAGAATATTACTACACCTATTTACAGAGAGGCATATAAGTGAAGCAGATTACTTCTGTCAATTAAACATAATTAAATTCAAGTCTGTCATTAAAATCACATCAAGTAGAAATCACCTTCATTAGTACTTAGCTTTATATAAACACCATACTCTATAAAGCTTTATATAAACACTATTTTCAAATGTTACCAGCTTGTAAATCCGCAGCTTCATGAATAAACAAAATTGCTGGCAACCAATTTTATAAAAGTTGTGTTAACAACGATATGAATGCCACCAGTTAGTAACCATTGTCCTGCCAAAAACCAAAGATAATCATATCCCACTGGAATGCAAATAAAAAAAGCCACAGACTGATATTTATTACTTAATATAGGCAGGATCATACAGATCAATATTTTGCCAAGTGATTTATAGAGACATGTGATACAGAATTCAGTCTGGCTTGGTCTAGGAGTTCAGAAGAGAAAATCTCTGGTCTCAGCGACCATTCCAGATTGAATCCTGCAGCATTATCCTGGGACATGTATATCCATTCACCTTCTGATGTGGCCCGCCAACGGAGCTGGCAGCAGCGTCGGAAAGTGAGGAGGTTGGGGAGGAACATGGGCCAGTCCTGGAGGCTGGGGAAGGCTCGGACGAGGGCTCTGCAACAGAGGCAGAGACGGGGCCAAGGCTGTTTGGCAATTCTCAGCTGCCTTCAGAGCTAGACAGCAGTGAGGCAGAGGAACAGCTGGAGCCTGTTCCCAGTGTGCACATACGCAGAGCTCCCAGAAGAAAAGAACAGCTAAGAAATCAGGGTCAACTTGGAAGTAAAGCCACAGGTGGACGGTGAATAGTTCCTCCCATAGGAAATAAAAGAGGAGCGAAAGGGGAGTGGGCTTTTGCAGAAAACAATGCATTCATTCAATCATTCATTCATTCATTCATTCATTCATTCATTCATTCATTC